AAACGGAAGAACTTTGAAAATATCCAAAACTAGTCAAGAATTTGCTCAAAAAGTTGTCCCATATACTATTTGTACTATTTTCGAATCTTCCTCCTGTAGAGGGACAGGCCTGACGTAAGTCTGGGGCGCGCTCCAAACGAGGCCCCAATCTCTCTGGGCACGAATCTCCTGACCCGCGCTCCGAGGCGCGCCCGGCCGTGGCGGCAGCAAAGGGAGGGGAGGGGGCCGAAGGCTACGAGCAGACGGGGAGGAAGAGGAGAAGGGGGAGAGGAGGAGGAGGAGGAGGAGGAGGAGGAGGAGGAGGAGGAGGAGGAGGAGGAGGAGGAGGAGAGGAGGAGGAGGAGGAGGGGGAGGAGGAGGAGGAGGAGGTAGGAGGAGGAGGGGAGGAGGAGGAGGAGGAGGAGGAGGCGGAGGAGGAGGAGGAGAAGGAGGAGGAGGAGGAGGAGGAGGAGGGGAGGAGGAGGAGGAGGAGAGGGGAGGAGGAGGAGGAGGAGGAGGAGGAGGAGGAGGAGGAGGAGGAGGAGGAGGAGGAGGAGGAAGAGGGAGGGAGGAGGAGGAGGAGGAGGAGGAGGAGGAGGAGGAGGAGGAGGAGGAGGAGGAGGAGGAGGAGGGAGAGGAGGAGGAGGAGGAGGAGGAGGAGGAGGAGGAGAGGAGGAGGAGGAGGAGGAGGAGGAGGAGGAGGAGGAGGAGGAGAGAGGAGGAGGAGGAGGAGGAGGAGGAGGAGGAGGAGGAGGAGGAGGAGGAGGAGGAGGAGGAGGAGAGAGGAGGACACGCCGCGTGGATCGCCCAGCCCGGAGCGACCACCGCTGCCCGACGGCGCAGATCCCTCGCTGTGTCCACCCGCGGCGCTCCGACTCGCACGCCCGCGCAGGGGGGTCGCCGCCCGCCGCCGGCTGCGGGGCCGAGAGCCTGCCGCGCGAGGGCAGGATGGGCAGCCACGGCCACCGCGCCGTGGACGTCAATGGGGGCCGAGGCGCAGCGGGTGCGGACAGCAGCTGTTAGCCGCACTCCGAGGTTCAATACGGGGCGTCAAAACGACCACGGCCACGACCACGGCCACTGCTCAGCTGTTGCTCAGCGTTAGCTTAGCTTTAGCTTAGATTTAGCTTAGCTTTGGCTTAGCGTTAGCGTAGCTTTAGCTTATCTTTAGCTTAGCTGTGGCGTAGCTTTAGCTTAGCGTTAGCTTAGCTTTAGCTTAGCTTTAGCTTAGCTTTAGCTTAGCTTTAGCTTAGCTTTAGCTTAGCGTTACTGTTACTACTAATGCTGCTTTCCTAGGGGTTCCAACTCCTAGGTAGGGTCGCATTGGGATAATCTTTTGTTGCCGCCTTCCAGCCCGCAGAAACAAAGCAGCGGTTGTGGTCATTTTCGTCGAGCTTGGCACCAGGGAAACGACCACAACCACTGCTTCTTCTTCGGCCGGCTGGAAGGCGGCGCAAACAAGAAGCAGTGGCTGTGGTCATTTTCCAGTCCCGCATTCAAGGCGTCGGGGGGCGTCATCCCCGCCGACAGCCTCACGTCGACCCCCGTCGCAGGGCAGCCCCCGCGGGCCGAAGGCGCTCCGACCCCCGTCGCGGCGCGACGGCGAGGTGAGGTTGACCCCCGTCGGGGGGGTACCCACCCACGCTGAAGAAACCCAGAGTATCCGCTGCGCCTCTGGCTTCTGGCTGCCTGCCAGACTGCCCCAACCCAACCCGAAGGCACGAATTTCGTGTTGGGGGGGTACGGGTTCTATCTGTGGTTTTCCCATGTTTCCCGACGCCCCACACACACACACTGGGAATGGAGAGCAGATTGGGGCCCCCGAGAGGGTTCGAGAGGGTCCCCGATCGCCAAAAGATCGGTCCAAAACGCCTTCACGCCCTCCAGATTGTCCAGTAGGCCTTCAGGACGCCAAAAGAAGCCTCCAAGAGCACTCCCGAGAAGGCCCTGAGAGGCCAAATTCATTGATTTGCTGATGGCTGTTATATACACAAAAAATCGCCCCAAGACGCCAAAACAGCCCACGAGGAGCCCAAGACAGTCCAAAACGCCTCCAAGACGGACCAAAAGGTCCTCAAGACGGCTCCAAGAGCGTGCCCTGACGGGGGACCCGAGCGGAAATTTCGAGCCCTCGGCCCCGAGAGGCTCCCAGGAGGTTCCAAAAAGGTTCCCAAGAGGTCCCAAGAGGCCCACAACAGGTCCCAGGAAGCCCGAAGAGGCCCCCAAGAGGCTCCCAAGAGGCCCCCAAGAGGCTCCCAAGAGGCCCCCAGAATTCCTCTCCAGAGGTCTCCGACCCGAAAGCCGTCCGAAGAGACCCGTAGAAGTATCCCTGATGCTTCTGGCCCACGTTAGCGTCGTCGTCGTCGTCGCCGCCGCCGCCGTTGCCGTCGTCGTCGTCGTCATCGTCGACGTCGTCGTCGTCGTCGTCTTCCTTCAGGGTCGGCGGCACTAGTCGTAAGACATTCGCGATATCCTGAAACGCTCTCCTTCTCCCGAACGTCCCTCCTAGATCCTCCTCCTCCTCCTCCTCCTCCTCCTCCTCCTTCTCCTCCTCCCTCCTCCTCCTCCTCATCCTCATCCTCCTTCTCCACGCCCTCCTCCTCCTCATCCTCGCCCTCCTTGTCCTCCGCTGTCTCCTCCTCCTCCTCCTCCTCCTCCTCCTCCTCCTCGGCCTCCTCCTGTTCCGCTTCCTCCTCCTCCTCCTCCTCCTCCTCGTCCTCCAAGTCCTCTTCCAGATCCTCCTCCTCGGCCTCCTGCTCCTCCTCAGCCTCCTCCTTTTCCTCTTGCTCCTCCTCCTCCTCCTCCTCCTCCTCCTCCTCCTCGTCCTCCAAGTCCTCTTCCAAATCCTCCTCCTCGGCCTCCTGCTCCTCCTCATCGTCAGCCAAATTCTCCTCCTCCGCCTCCTCCTCCTCCTCCAAGTCCTCTTCCAAATCCTCCTCCTCGGCCACCTCCTCCTCCTCCTCCTCCTCCTCCTCCTCCTCATCCTCCCCCTTCTCTTCCTCCTCCGCATCCTCCTTCTCATCCTCCTCCTCCGCCAAGTCTCCCTCCTCCTCCTCCACCTCGGCCTCCTCTCCTCCAAACCAAGTATCCTCATCCGCTTCCTTCTCTACTCCTCCTCCTCATCCTCCAAGTCCTCTTCCAAGTCCTCCTCATCGGCCTCCTCCTCCTCCTCAGCCAAATTCTCCTCCTCCTCCTCCTCCTCGTCCTCCCCTCCTCCTCCTCCTCCTCCTACCTCCCTCCTCCCTCCCTCCCTCCCTCCCTCCCTCCTCATCACTCATCCTTTCGTACGTGGGTTAGGGGCCAAGGTTGTCATCAACCCTTCTCGTCCGTCCTCATCCTCCCCCTCCTCCTCCTCATCCTCCTCATCCTCCAAGTCCTTACCCCCCTCCTCATCCTCCTCTATCCATCCATCCATACATGCATTCGTCCATCCATCCATCCATCCATCCTTCCTTCCTTCCTTCCATCTATCGTCCTCCCTCCTCCTCCTCCTCCTCCTCCTCCTCCTCCTCCTCCTCCTCCTCCTTTTTCCTCCTCCCCAAACACCGGACGTCCCGATGTGTTTCGCAACGTGGCGCCCATGCAGGTCTCGATCCTATCCTCAAGACCTGTTCTGAGGCCTTGCGAGGTCCCCCATAGTCCGAAGTTGCCAAGACGTTTGTGTTCCGTCGTCGTCGTCGGTGTCATCGTCGTCGTCATCGTCATCTCAAGTGTCGTCGAAATTCGTCGTTGTAGCAGCAATGGTAGCAGCAGCAGTAGCCGAGCCACCGCAAATCCTAGATCTACATTCCAGGGCAAGCCAAAGGGCACCGAAGACAGCCTGATGAAGCGCCGCCTCAAACCCAGAACCACTGCAACCACCACGAGTCGAAGGCATAAGATGAAGCCCCGCCCCCAAACGTTAAGGCAGAAGCGCAGGAGCAAACCAAAGACCACTATAGATGACTATAGCAAGAAAGCCCACCGAGAGAAACCAACACCGAAGCTGATCATGGAGAAGCACCATCCCCTGTTCAACCGCAGCCATGATGGCACTTCCTCGCTCAAGCGAAAAAGGCGTCCTTGTCACGCCTCGAAGGGCTTCTCCGTCCGAACGGACACAAATCCTCGCTCGGCCGAAGAGAGTGTCTCCGTTCGAGGCCGGATCTCTGGGTTGCTGGCTGGACGACCTGGACTGCCTCTTGACCAAGAAGAAGCAGCTGCAGCAGTAGCAGGAATAGTAGCATGGGTAAGACGATACGACCTGTGCGCAATGCTCATCACTCGTTGATGGATGCAAGGAATTAGTTCCTTTTCGAATCGGGGCCCTCGCCCAAATGGCAGGCTCGCATGGTGCTAGTCGTTCGGGTCAGGGGGCGCGCCTTGGAGCGAAAAGGCAGGCTTGCAGGGCCTCAGGAGGAAGGGAACTGGCATGGGACGTTGTATTGCAGCATCGTTGATGCATCTAGGGTTTGCTCTGGCCCTCCTCCTCCTCCTCCTCCTCCTCCTCCTCCTCCTCCTCGGTTGACGGAGAACAGTGGTATGCGGACAAGCTCCATACATGCACAGAGAAGCCGAGATCGACACAGACATCGCTGAAGTCGTGCGCACGCTGGGAAGTGTGCAGAAGCTCTGCTGCTCTCTGGTGTGCGCTCTGGTGTGCGCTGCTACTCTCTGCGCACGTTGGGAACAGTTCCGAAGGTGTGCGCTCTGCTGGTCTCTCACCCTCGTCTCTCCATGACTCCTCCCCCGGACCCCAGACCACGCAATCCCGAAATGCCTGTCAGCAAAAGTACACGCGTCAGCGACATACCTCCAGCACGCATGCAGTTACTACGGCAAGCTTGTGGGTCATCGGCCAGGCACGCTAAGACCAGTACTGGAGGCGGCAACTACCTACGGCATGACACGAAGGGTTGGGGAAGATAGAGCTTCGCCTCCTCCTACTCTTCCTCCTCCTCTTCATCCCCCTCTTGCTCCTTCCTCGCTCCGGTTCCCCGCTCCCCGCTCCCCGCTCCTCGCTCATCGCTCCTCCCTCGCTCCTGGCGCGTGCAGCACGTAGGCCCGGTCCACGTAGCCAGGGTAGTTGATGGCGACCGTCTGACCGGCGCCACGCTTCCTCGAGCGGCTGCTGCTCGAGACCCCCTGGGGTGCGCGGGGCTGCGGGACGGAGCGTTAGGTCGGGCATGTCCTCCTACGGGCGGATTGTGGAAGAAAGCCCCCCAAACATACACAACAGTTGTCAAACAAGATACTAGAAGCACCGTTGCTGATGTTTGACCATGTTTGATGATCCCTCCTGTAGAAAGACGCGCCCGACTTAAGCGGAGCGCTGGCCCTTCCACTGCTACTACGACGAGGGGCAGCGACATGCGGCCGGGAACCTCTGCTTCTGGCGTGCCGCCGCGGCGGGCCCATGGCGACACGCTGTGTGCCCTCGCCCCGCGAGCGGGCGATGTGTGTGTGTGTGTGTCGCTTCGTGCCGCGGGGCGGGGAGCTCGGGAAGGCTCGGGACACTGACGCCTGGGGTAAAACCAGCCTCGAACTAATCCCTGTCCCTAAGCTGGGCAAGCCAAACAGCGATGGCAGTCTTGGGGATAGGGCCTCAGAAACGGAGGGGATCCCTAAGAGCGGCATCGCGGTGAGGTGATGCCAAACACAGGGATAGGGACATGTCTCAAAGTGGTAAAGGGGAGCGCGACATGGATAGAGCGTCGCGCCAAAGCGTGGTGGGCCAGAATCAGCAGCGCAGCACACTATGCGAAAACTCCCAACCGTTCGGGGGTCATGGTTCGGAGGGGGGGGGGGTCAACATCGAACTGGGATCGGCCACCATACGTCGCCGGCAGATCGGCGACAGGCCCCCGATAGCGAATCCGAACGTTCCTGGCAGGGGCTGGCTGTCGGGGACCTACCAGCGATCAGTGTGAATCAGCAATCTCCAGTAAGAGGTCCAAAGCATTTGCATGCTACTAGTTCGCGCGAGCGGAGCGGCCCCGAGGGGTCCCCAGAGTAAAAATACCCCCTGGACAAATCTGGGCAGAGATGGGTCCTCATGGACGCCGTCCAGAAGCGCTCCAAGCTGGCCCCAAATGTGTGGCAGGCTCCACGACCTCGAGCCAAGAGCACTCGGAGACGGCTCAGAACGGCCTCAAGACGGACTCGAGACGGCCCCCGGTGGACCCCAGCCGGCCCCAGAGGCGCCCAAGACACCCCGAGAGGGCTCTAAGAGGAGTGGAGTCCAAGAAAGCCCTAAGAACAAAAAACAACAACAAAAACAACAACAACAGCAACAACAACAACAACAACAACACCACCAACAACAACAACAACAACAACAATAACAACAACAACAACACCAACCACAACAACAACAACAACAACAACAACAACAACAATCATTTAAGACTGGGGACACTCCGTTCTCACCAGTGCCAGGGTTTTCATAGGAGGCGGGCAATACCCCCACTTTGTGGGGGGGCCGGTTCAAGCTCTACCAAGTTTCCAAACGACTCTTCGCCACCACCCACACCCAGCTTCCCGCCCTATGACGTTCGGACACTTCACTTCGTGGCCTGCGGACGACCTTGGCTACTACACTGGCGCATGGGTACAGTGACTTGTTGTTGTGGGTACAGTGACTCGTTGTGGTAACATTTTGTGTCCCGCATGATATTTTTTGCAAGGGATTGTGGCCCCTGGCAGGCGCGCGAACGCCGTTGAAAGAGCTTGCGAAAACAGCTCGCGCGAGCTCTATAACATACATGTTGAAAAACCATTGGTTTTTAAGGATTCGGACAGCGCGCGCGGGTAGAAATTTTGAAAATTCGTACAGATGTTTTTCGAGAACCTACGGTGCGATTCGTATGATTTTATGTTGCGCGGTGCTAAAATTCCTAAGAAACCCAATGATTTTTGAAGATTTCGGCGTGCGCGCGCGAAGAAAAAACGAATGTGTCCCACATGGTATTATTTGACAGGGATGATGGCCCTGGCAGGCGCGCAACCTTTGTTGCAGAAGTTCGAAGCACGTGAAAAAGTTGCTCGCAAGAGCCCGTTTGACAGAAATGTTGAAAAAGTATTGGGTTTCCTAAGAAATCCGCAAGAGCGCGCGGGGTGAATTTTTGAAACCCTTTTTTTGAAAAACCATTGGGTTTTTCATGTTTTTATGTGAAAATCGCTACGAAGACTAAGGTTTTGGAAGGATTTCGTCTTGCGCGCGCGAATGTGCACTTCGTGTCATTTTTTGCAAGGGGTTCTTGAAGTTTGGTCATGTTAGAACAAAAAATGTCCACTTTGCCTTATTTTTTGCAAGGGAAAACCGATCGTAACAACACAACCGGATCCGGACACCCACGTTTTGCCTGAGACTTCCTCACGGAAATGATGAAAATGTGGCTGCGGCCTAGGCGCGGCGGGGGGGGCGCGCACCAGGGGTACCAACAATAACTATTCTTTAGAATTAATAATGTTCAACAACAACAACAACGACAACGACAACGACAACGACAACGACAACGACAACGACAACGACAACGACAACGACAACGACAACGACAACAACAACGACAACGACGACAACAACAACAACAACGACAACGACAACGACAACGACAACGACAACGACAACGACAACGACAACAACACCGACAACGACAACGACAACAACAACAACAACAGCAACAGCAGCAGCAGCAGCAGGAGCAGCAACAGCAACAGCAACAGCAACAGCAACAGCAACAACAGCAGCACCAGCAACAACAACAACAACAACAACAACAACGACAACAACAAAAACAAAAACAAAAACCTGGCGAAGGACCCAACCATACGCAAGTGTGAGAACCGCCGGGCAGGTGGGACGAAACAAGGGGAACTCCCTATGGGGCCACGAACCGTGTGAGGGGTGCGCCAAAATGGGGCAGGGCCGCCATGCGAACCCTGCCACTGGGGCCTTCGGTGGAGCCCCCCACGGGGCCTCGAACCGTGTGAGGGGTGCGCCAAAATGGGGCGGGGACGCCATGCGAACCCTGCCACTGGGGCCTTCGGTGGAACCCCCCATGGGGCCACGAACGGTGTGAGGGGTGCGCCACAATGGGGCGGGGCAGCCATGCGAACCCTGCCACTGGGGCTTTCGGTGGATCTCCGTGGGGCCACGAACCGTGTGAGGGGTGCGCCAAAATAGGGCGAGGACGCCATGCGAACCCTGCCACTAATTCGGTGGAGCTCCCTATGGGGCCACGAACCGTGTGAGGGGTGCGCCAAAACGGGGCGGGGCCGCCATGCGAACCCTGCCACTGGGGCCTTCGGTGGAGCTCGCTATGGGGCCACGAACCGTGTGAGGGGTGCGCCAAAACGGGGCGGGGCCGCCATGCGAACCCTGCCACTGGGGCCTTCGGTGGAGCTCGGAGCCACGAACCGCGTGAGGGGTGCGCCAAAATGGCGCGGGGCCGCCATGCGAACCCTGCCACTGGGGCTTTCGGTGGAGCTCCCTACGGGGCCACGAACCGTATGAGGGGTGCGCCAAAACGCGGGGCCGCCATGCGAACCCTGCCACTGGGGCCTTCGGTGGAGCTCCCTATAGAGCCGCGAGATGTTGTACTGGGTTGGCGAAACACAAGGAGGAAGGGGGAGGAGGGGGAGGGAGGAGGGGAGGAGTAGAGGAGAGGAACGCGCGGCACCGTCTCAAACGAGGACCCAACACCACAGGACGTTTGGGAAAATTATCCTGGCAAAGGACCCAACCATATGCAATTGTGAATAACGCCTTGTGGGTGCCGCTCTCTGTGGAACTCCTTATGGGGCCACGAAACGCGTGAGAGGCGTGCAATGGGGCAGACGCCTGCGGGCGGTGCCACTGGGGCCTTCGGTGGGGCCCCCTATGGGCCGCGAAAAGCTGTACTGGGTGTGGCTGACGCATGCGGGCGGTGCCCCCCGCTGGAGCTCCCGATGAGGCCACGAAACGCTGTATTGGTTGGGGGAAACGCATGCGGGCGGTGCCGCTGGAGTCTTTCTGTGGAGCTCCCTACGGGGCCACGAAACGCTGCACTGGGTGGTGGCCGACGCATGCGGGCGGTGCCACTGGGACCTTCGGTGGAGCTCCTCATGGGGCCACGGGGGGGGGGACGCATGCGGGCGTTGCCACTGGGGCCTTCGGTGGCCACTGGAGCTCCCTACGGTGCCACAAAACGCTGCACCGGGTGGGGGGGGGCACATGCGGGCGGTGCCACTGGGGCTCGGTGGAGCTCCCACTCAATGGGGCCGCGAAGTGCAGTACTGGGTGGTGGACGACGCATGCGGGGGGTGCCACTGGGGCCTCTCTGTGGAGCTCCCTATTGGGCCACGAGGCGCTGTACTGGGTGTGGCAGACGCATGCGGCCACCCCCACTGGAGCCGCAGGTCGGGCTCCCTATAGGGCCACGAAACGCTGCACTGTGTGTGGCGGGCGCATGTGGCCACCCCCTCTGGGGCCTTGGGTGGAGTTCCCTATGGGGCCACGATTCTCTGTACTTGGTGCGGCGGACGCATGTGACTGGGGCCTTGGGTGGCGTTCCCTATGGGGCCACGAAACGCTGTACTGGGTGTGGCGGACGCATGTGGCCGCCCCCGCTGGGACCTTACGTGGAGCTCCCTACAGGGCCACACAGCGCTGTACTGGGTGTGGCGGACGCATGTGGCCACCCCCACTGGAGCCTTGGGTGGCGTTCCCTATGGGGCCACGAAACGCTGTACTGGGTGTGGCGGACGCATGTGGCCACCCCCACTGGGCCCTCGCGTGGGGTGCCACGAAGCGTTGTACGGGGTGTGGCGGACGCATGTGGCCAACCCCTGTGGGGCCGCAGGTGGAGTTCCCTATTGGCCAACGCTGTACTGGGTGTGGCGGACGCATGTGGCCACCCTCACTGGGGCTTTGGGTGGAGCTCCCAATGGGGCCACGAGGCGCTGTGCTGGGTGTGGCACACGCATGTGGCCACCCCCACTGGGGCCTTGGGTGGAGCTCCCTACAGGGCCACGAAACGCTGTACTGGGTGTGGCGGACGCATGTGGCCACCCCCTTCTGGGGCCTTGGGTGGAGCTCCCAATGGAGACACGAGGCGCTGTACTGGGTGTGGCGGACGCATGTGGCCACCCCCACTGGGGCCTTG